TTACCAATCTTCTATATTAGATTTACTCTCCTAACAACTCTAATTTGTACCATGCTCTTTGTATATATGATCTTTCTTATGTTTTTCTTGTAAAATTTATAATATAACTTATGACCAAGATTGATAATGTTTTAAATATTTTCTTAACCGATAACCACATTCTAAAAATACTCATTTAGTCTCAAGAAGGAATGACATTGTACTGTGAATAATTCAATTTTAATTTTAATAAAACAGAAAAAAAATTGGAGTACGACAATAGTGGCGGAGTTGGATTAGTTTGGAGTTCCAAATTGGCTAAAGATTAAGAAAAAAACAAAGGATAGAAATTGCAATTGAAAAAGGAGTAACCACTAAAAAGAGGAGAGGTGGGGGGAAAGAATTTCATTGGACTTGGTAAAACTTCCAAAGAGAAGATTTTTTTTTTTGCAGGAAAAAAGTTTTTTTTTTTTTACAGATTCATTGTTATTTGCTTAATGTTGTCCTAATGTGGAATCGCAAGGGAAAATAAATTTGAATATTTGATGTTTTTAATGAGAACGTGTTTATTATATTTTATAGATAATTGGACCGACAAGATAAGATAAGAATAACCAACTACTAGAGTCAGATCAAGATTTTCACATGATTCAAAAGAGTTATCAGTTTAGTTTAATACAAAAAATACTTGATCACGATTAAACCCAAAACAAAAATATATTGTCTTGTAAGTATAGTTTCTTCCACTATCATACCATTGTTAGCACTGTCATTGTCATCAACAACATTGTTAACAACCAAATTTTCATTCACTAGTAGTACAAATAGGTTTTAGGGTTATCTATGAGTCCAAAAAAATCAACAACACAAAATCATACATGAAATTTTTTCAAACAGATACATACTTGCATTCGAATGTAGAAGGTATCTTGACTTGCATTCGAATGTAGAAGGTATCATGAAAATTTTTCAAACAAATTTCCTATCTCTCTCTCGACAACAAATGCATCAAGCAAGGTTGGAGCAAAGTAGCAAACATATCGTTATCTTGACCAATTGCGATGAAAGACCCTCTATCAAACCTGAGTATCATTCTTCAGAAGATTGATCAAAATGCGAGAGAGAGAGAGAGAGAGATAAGTTCATCTACATTCACTGTAATTTTACTTAAAATTGATAGGAGTGATCAAGAGATCATTATGATATGTTGAAGCAAATGAAGAAGAAAGAAAAAAGAGGTAGGAAACATACACTCAATTCTAACAACCACAATGGCTAATTACATTGGGGTACCATTGAGTCAAAAACTTTGATCCTCATTCTTAGACCACCTAACAAGATCCTTAGATGTCATAGCCCAGCTAGGATACAAATCACTGTAGGGAGAAGCCTTTCTTTCCTCCCAAACACAACACATGTTATTTGTCTGAATTAATGACCAGGTGAGCAATAAACATTAATTATCATTAACACATTATTATTGTATGCATAATCAAATTCAAACTCAACCATGTTAATGTCGTAGGCAAGAGGTTGCGGCACCTGCAACTTCATATGCCTTATTATCTCTTATGGAAATCATATCAAATCAAATCAGGCTTGTTCTAAGGCATCATATAGTTGCTTCAATGCAAGCTTTAGTTAATCTTTAATCATTTCAATTTCCATATGCAATGATTCTAAGATATTAGAATAGATGTAAAACCCGAACTAAAGTAGTGTTAGAAGGCATCATATAGTTGCTTCAGTGCAAGATTTAGTTGTTCTTTAATCATTTCAATTTCCATATGCAATGATCCTAAAAGATTAGAACAGAGGTGAAATCCAAACTAAAGTAGTGTTAGAAGGCATCATATTGTTGTTTCAGTGTAAGATTTAGTTGTTCTTTAATCATTTCAATTTCCATATGAAATGATTCTAAGAGATTAGAACAGAGATGAAACCCAAACTAAAGTAGTGTTAGAACATATTTAAAACATAACCAAAGTTTCACCAAACACTGGTGAAACCCTAAGTATACCACGATAAGAATAAAAATTAAGAAAGAACAATACTATTAATAATGCAAGAAATTACTTGAATCATAAAGCAGGTTGTTATAAAGCTATTCACTTCTAAACATAGTCCGATTAAAAGTCCAAGAAATAGGGAGAATCAATGAAAATTCCTATTAAATGTACAATAAATATGAAGCAAATAGAAACATAGTAGTAAGGGAACAAAAAGAAAGAAATCAAAAGTAAGTTAACAACACAAGAGTAAGGGAACAACTATAAAATAAATTCAAGAAGGCTAAACAACATGTAAGAACCAAGGATACGCACGAGAATACCTCAAATTGAAGCTCTCAGAGAAAATAAGTTTGGAAATAGGGCACGATCGGGCATAGAAAGACAAAGTTGAAGAATAGGTAGAGAAATCCTTCAAATAACAAAGAAGAATGAGAGATTCGATCCACAATATTAGTATTGAACATATTGTTGAGCTCTAACTAGTAGAATTTTCAGGCGATTGATCAAAATTGGAGAAAGTGAGAAGTTCATCTACATTCACTATAATTTTACTTAAAACTGTATGAAGATTGATTGTAGAGATCATCCTGATATGCAGTAGTAAAGGAAGATAAAAGAGAGAAATGACGGAAAATATACACTAATCTTTAACAACATCATTTGCTAATTACATTAGGATACCTTTGACTCGAGAACTTTAAGATCTCATTTTACATTGGTCTCCCACACTTACAACCACACATAAAAATCTTTAAATTTCAAAGTCCAGCTATGATACAAATTACTATAGGGTGAAAACTTTCTTTCCTTCCAACCCCACATCATGTTATTTGTATGAGATTAATGATCGACTGAGTAAATAAAATTAATCTTAATTTATACTATCACTATTTTAGAGTAACTTTTTGTCACGTAGTATTCTGTAAGATTCACAATTTCTCATATCATTTTTATGATTTAACCTTTTATATAATTCACTAAGTTCCAATAAGGTAAAAACTAAATAAACATATAATCATCATTATTAAAATTTAAACTTGCAACATACGAGTCCAAATTATTAGCAGTTAAACCATTTATCCAATAGGTTGAGTTTTGTTTGATGCTGCCAAGCGCAATAAAATTAGCACTCATGTTATCAAATGAGTTTATAACCTTACCTCTTCTCTTTTTACTTTATTGGTTGACCTCATGCTTCATTTTGAAAAATGTTGGGTCTGATTTCTACATAAATTACACTAGGAAAAAATTCATGGATAAGTAGTGTATTCTATGTGACAACAAGAAATCATTTGTTGGTAAAAATAAATATACTTTTAATTTTCACTTCATAATATGTTCAACAATTACTTATAAATGTTTGAACAAAATAATAAATAAAGTCAAAAGTCAAAATTAAGTTACAAGCCAAATTTAGACTTTTATTTATTTTTTCATATCATTTTCATCTCAAATTGAAATATGAGGAATTTTTATCCTATGTGCAATAAGTAACAATCCAACTTTAACTTACAAAACACGTTTCAATGTAAATTTGAGGAGTTCTTATAAGAACTCTAAAGTTAAACATGAGCATAGTGAACTAATACAAATATGGATAATCTCTTGACAAGTCACCATAATACACCAAAAACAAATCGTGGATAATATCTTGGTGAAAAAAATTGAGATGTTACCAATACAATGTGATGGTCATATATGTTATAACCGGGTCGATGAAGCAAAAGTGTGATGTATACTTGTATTGCACTATTGGAATGGAAGTATTATTATTCTTAGTAATGGGTGGCGGTAATAGATAGGTTAGATAGGAAAAAAAAATTGGAGGGACGTGTTTTTGAAATCACTCTACATGTTATTGAGCTCGTTAATTTTTATTGCAAGTCAGGGAAGTTAACTTTAATTATCTTCTCGATTTGGATCTATTACTCTCCCTTTGCATTTCATTTGGCTCGATGTTTTGCTCCTCCTAACGACTGCTTCAAAACCAACTGTTATGTTGCTCCCTTAAAAAGAAAAAAACCTGTTATGTTGTTATTCGTCATATTGGTTATTCATCCGACCTGGTGATTCGTGGGCCGGACGAGCATGTTCTACTAGAAGTTTGGATATCATCGTTATGGGGTGACGAAACCCTACGTTGTGGAGCTAAAAGCTACTAGTGATCCCCTCTTAGACATTATTTCCCGAACTCTTCCTCGCGTTATCCTCGAAGGTGATTATGAGTTGGCGATTCGACAACTCCGTCTTAATGTGGTAGCAAATTCACTAGGGGAGCCTCTGTTCTCGAGAGTGTCGTCAGCTGATCTCCTCTGCTTCTTTTAGTATAATATTTAGGGCAGTTTCACGAACCAAAAATTAGCTGCCTATAGAGTGACGCAAAAATTTCCTCTTACTGTCTCCTTTAGAGTTAGTTTTCTTTGATTTTATAGGCTGACTCCACTAGTGTGTGTGGTTTTGGGAAGGTTTTTGGGATGAGGGTGTGTTGTTATTTCTAATTTTCCTTTTGTTATCTCTCAAACAGAAAAAAGTAACAGTCGAGTAGGTTTAGCATTATTATTAGGGTTATGAGTACTTTTCCATATAATTTTATTTTAGTAATTATCTTAGACTTAATGAAAAACCAAGAAATAAATCAAAATATATTCTTGATAAAAATTCTAATTCTCTACATTTTATTTTCTTCGGACGCTAATCTACACATATTATAAAAGCTGGAAGCCAAAAATCCAAACACCATTTCAAATTTCCGATGCTCAGAGGGTTTTGCGGGAGGGTAAATTTGGCAGGCGAAAATTTTGGCTGAGTGGTGAAAAAGCGGGCTGCCTTGCCCTTTTCCTTCACTGGGTTTACGTGATTTCCATGGCCCAAAAGATTGGACAAAGCCGACTTTCCTCAACCCTTGCAGCGTTGCAGAGCACATTCAGAGACGGTAGAGAATCGATAGAGAAGAGGGTCGCCTGTGTTATTCCGAGTTCTCGCGAGGATCTAAATTCCGGCTGAAATTTCTGATCCTAGAATCGAAATTCAAAGAGGTCTAGAGAGAGGAGATAACCCAAAAGGCTGGCTTTTTTATTACACGTTTCTCCTTCTCTCGAGGAACTGGATTTGCGCGTCCGCTCCTTCTGCTGCTTCATTCTTGCGTGGTTTGCGCACCAAGTTTCCATAGATTTTTGTCTTATCATGCCTTCCTTAATCAGAGCTTGATGAAAACTGCTGTTGCATCTCTCCCTGCCGGCCGAATTTTCCACATCCCAGTTCTAGAGATTAATGAATCGCCCTGCCTCTGTAAGTTCTCTTCATTAGGTTACCCTCTTTCTAATTTGGCGATGGCTGCCCCTCTTTCTAATTTTCCGATGATTGCCTTGAATGTTGGTGATTGTGTAGCCACCGCTCCAAGAAAACAGCAGCAACACACTCGCTTGAGATGTATGTGTCCAATCTATCTCATGCACTTGGTAATTAGATACATTTATAGTAAGGGGAAGTTTGGTTCCAATCTACCCCAGGTTCAAATTTTTTGGCCTAACACAAAACTACCTGAGAAAATTTATATGAATGTCGAATTGGCGAATTGGCTAGCAGAAGGATAATTAGAGTTTTTTTCTTGATGTTTTCATTGATGGCTGGATCATGTTTATATATAATTCTATGCCATGTCAATAGGAATCTGTTGTCTGAATATTTTATTTGGCTTGAACCCCTTGCTTTGTAGTATGATTGTAGTGTACCAAACCATCTGGTGGTTTGGCGTTGGTTTTTTGGAGCTGCTCCATTTTGTTCTGTGTCCTGACTTCTATTTGGTTTTGCCCAACTGGGATCTCATTTTCTGTCCAGTTTCTAAAGGTTATTGTGTGGACTTCTCGCATGCTATAACTGTTGCTGCCCTCTGTTAATATGACCATTATGGAATTTCATCATGGTGAGTCAAGTACTCAACCTTTACGCATACAGGCTGATGCATCTCTTGAAGAAGGTATGTGTGAAATAGTAATCAGTACTATTGTCAGTTAGAATGTTTTTAAATGGGGAGTGCTTAGTATATTGTCGTTGCTGAATTTGTAGTTGAACAGAATTACCAGCCACCACGTTTTGCTGCCCCTGGCCAACCACAACAAAATAGACCATCTGCCCCTTGTGTGTTTGTGTATATTTAACTGTAGTGTAGTTGAATTTGGGAGCCTTATTATGCGCTTTCCTAATCTGGTTGTAATGCAGGGAAAGGGAGAGCCATCTTTTATCATCCAGAAGACACTTATCAAAGGTTTGTCATGTCCGTAGAAGATCAAGAAGTTTATGACAAAAGTACATATGGTCATATCAAATTACTTTGTGAGGATACCTTGCTGTGATTTGTGCTTATATTTTTAATTTGTATGTGGGTGTGTAGTAAACAAACAGTTGCATAACGATCTCATGGAAATTTGCAGAAAGTTGTCCCAAACTACTCGACGAAGAAGGCAGCTTATTCTTCAAGATAAGAGACGTAGGAGGCGATCTGTTGTTGAAGGTAAAAGTAGCCATTTTTTTTTGACGGAAATCTGCGCTAGGATTTATTAAGGATGAGAAGCCATTACAGAATCCAGCTCCAGCTGGTCAAGTACAATCATAGGTGGTCTATCAAACCAAATTTCAGTTTCGTTCCATCTTGTCTTCGTATGTGCCATGATGTGTGCTGTCGCGTTTGCTGTTCGGTATACATGTCTGCAACCTCCATCACCCATTTCCTGAAGTAGCCTCTTAATATTCCTGCATATCACTCCAAGCTCTGTCTGGTCCCTGTCCGCATCACGGATACGCTTCAGGACCGTCTCGCAATCCATCTCGAGAATGGGCAAACCAAGCTGGTGTTGTCGCACAAGCTGCAATCCTAATTCGGCCGCCAGAGCTTCACCCATTTCCGGGTTTTGTTCTCCACTTACTCTCTTAGCCGCCGCCATTAGGAATCTGCCTTGAGCATCTCTTACCACCACTCCTAGCCCACATCCATCCTCACACACTCCAGCATCTGTATTCAGATTAATATTCCCCGTACTCGGCTTCGTCCAATGCCTCCCCGCTGTACTCTGCTGCGGTGGATGTAGGGCAGCTTGTTGTGATCTGTATTCGTCCAGCAACGCTGCTGCTCGTGGAACTATATCCTCCTCTGCTAGCTTCGGCCCGTTAAACATATGGGCGTTCCGCTCCTTCCATATCATCCACATCAGCATACTCCAATCCTCAAACTCCTTCTCTGTTACCGTCGTCGCCACTTTCAATACCCACTCCATGCTTTGTGCCTCCCCTCTCATTTCGAAACAATGGGCCACCTGAGATTTCCGCCACAAACCATTAACCCATGCGCACTGGTCGAAAGCATGTACCTGAGTCTCCTGTCAATCACAGAAAGGGCATTTATCTCCCCTCATTTCATTACGCCTCATCACATGATCCCCCGTTGCGAGAGAGTCCCTGGCAAAACGCCACATAAAGTGCTTTACTTTCGGCGGTACCATCATTCCCCACATCTTCTTCCACATCGTTGGGTCTCCCGTCACCATTTGTCCTTTCTCCAGTCGGGTTTCCTTCAGCCATCGCCGGTAGCCCTCTCGAGCCGTATAATTCCCATGTTTGCTATCCGCCCAGATCAGCTGGTCTTGTTCATGAGAGCCACGCAGCGGAATACGGGAAATGGCTTCCACCATCGTCGTTGGAAAACAACTTTCTAGGAGGTCCCTGTCCCACTGTTCATGCTCCTCATCGATCAGCTCTCTTACAACCGAGTCCACCGGTATCCCCATTGGCGGCGACTGAATGATATTCCCCGGGGTTGAAGGCACCCACCGATCACCCCATACTCGTACCCGTGCTCCGTTCCCTATGCGCCATCTCAGACCATCGACAAGAAAATCTTGTGCACTCATCAAGCTTCTCCATACGTAGCTTGGCCGGTACCCCACCCTAGCGTCCAGGATATCCTCATGCTTATGGTATTTGTACTTTAACACCCTTGCTATGAGGGATTCCGGTCTGCTATGGATGCTCCACAATTGCCGGGCCAGAAGGGCTTTGTTAAAACCTCGCAGGTCTCGGAAACCGATCCCGCCTTCGCCCTGTGGTAGAATTAGTTCTTCTCGTGCAATCCAAGGAATGCGCTTCTCCTCCGCTCGCTGGCCCCACCAAAATCTTGTAATGAGACCGTGTATGTCGTCGATTATGCCATCTGGGACCCTGAACACCGACATCGTATAAGTAAGCTGCGCTTGGGCCACTGATTTAATGAGAACTTCCCTGGCGGCCACCGACATCACCCGCTCCTTCCATCCTGCAAGCTTCTTCCTTACTCTTTCTTTTAAATAGGTAAACAACGCCTTTTTCGATCTTCCGACCTCGGTGACTAAGCCCAGATATTTATTGTGCTTTTCCACCGCCCGCATTCCTAGCGTCGAGCTCACCAGTAGTCGCTGATGAGTCTTCACACTCCCACCAAATGACACCTCTGACTTGTCCAAATTTACAAGTTTCCCTGATTCAATTTCGTAATCCTTTAGTACTCTCCGCAACTCCATGCTTTCCTGAACTGTGGCCCTGGCAAAAAAGATAGCATCGTCAGCGGAAAAAAGGTGTGAGATCACCGGTGCTCCCCGAGCCATCGATAACCCATGAATCTTCTTCTCCCGGACCGCCTTTTCCATGTATGTGCTCAATCCTTCCGCCACCAGCAAGAATAAATAAGGGGATAGGGGATCGCCTTGACGTAATCCCCTACTTGGTGCGAACTGTTGCGATCTATGGCCATTAACTAATATCGAGTATGTGACCGAACGAACACACATCATTATCAGCTTTATCCATCTCTCCGAGAACCCCATTCTTCTCATCACTCCTTCCAAATACCACCATTCTACGCGATCATAAGCTTTCGCCATATCCGTTTTCGCTGCTAGGAATCCTTTCTTATTTTTTGACTTGACTTTCATAGTATGGAAACACTCGAACGCCGTCATCACGTTATCGGCTATGAAACGTCCAGGTACAAAGGCACTCTATTCCGGGGAAATGATCTCATTCAGCAGTACTTTCAAACGGTTTGCTAGTACCTTCGCCAGGATCTTATATAGGACGTTGCATAAACTTATCGGACGGAAGTCCTTTCCCATCATCGGTTCCTTAACTTTTGGGATTAGGGCAATTAAGGTATGATTAAGACCTTCGGGTATTTCTCCTCGATCAACGATCTGCATTAAAGCTTCTGTTACCTCATCCCCAACGATATTCCAGAACTTTATGAAGAACAAGACCGACAAACCATCTGCTCCCGGGGCTTTCCTCCTCCCATTTGATTTAGGGCTTCAAAAATCTCTTCCCGGGTCATTTCCTTCACTAACTCCTCATTTGACGCTTTGGTTACCCGCCCACCTATAGAATCCAAAACTGGTGTCGCTGAGGGTCGTTCACCAGCTGCGAAGAGATTCCCAAAGTAGCTCATTAGGCAAGCCATAACACGTTCCTGTCCGATCCACCAGTTTCCCGCCTCATCTTTCAACTTCCTTATAGTGTTTCGTTTCCTTCTTGCTGATGATTTCCTGTGGAAAAAGTTCGTGTTTTTGTCGCCGTCTCTCAGCCAGTCCGCTCTGGATCGTTGTTTCCAAAAGATTTCCTCATCACATTCCACATCTTCGAGCTCAGCTAAGAGCTTCTTGCGCTGGTCAATCACAATATCTGTTTGCTCCCCTCTTTCCAGCGCCTTCAGTGCTCTCTGAATTTTTGCCTTTTGCCTCCTGAAATTTGGAATAGCCACTTGACTCCAATTGTCCAGCTTGGTACTCACCTGCCCCATCTTATTGTTATGTCCCCCGCTCCTGAACTCCACACTTCCTCAATTACCTGTTTGCATCCATCATATCGTAGCCAGTGCGGTTCGAACCGAAATGACCACCCCCACTTCAATTCCTCATCCTCCTCACCCAGCGTTTCGCACAAGATTGGGCGGTGATCGGATCTAGTGCTGCCCAGGTGTGAAACTCGAGCATTCGGCCACCTTTCCCGCCACCCTTCGTTAGCAAGGAACCGATCTAGCCTTTCCTCTATGTATCCGCCCCTACTCCTCCTGTTCTCCCAAGTATATGGATACCCGGAGAAACCCATGTCCTGCAATCCCACATCGACTAAGCAATCCGAGAAAGCCCTCATCTCCTCTTCGTCCGGAAGATTCCCTCCCTTTTTTTCAAAGTCCGATAACACCTGGTTTAGGTCACCCCCGCAAAGCCAAGGACCCGTCCATTGCTCTGCGAGCTGACGAAGCAAGTTCCATGTACGTTCCTTCTCTCTCCCGTCAGGCCAACCATACACCCCCGTGAACCGCCACTCTCCTGTTAGTTCGTCGACAACTTTGACATCAATATGGTGTTGCGTTTTTGACATCACCGTGATTTGTGCCTCATCATTCCACCAGATACTCACACCTCCTGCCCTTCCGCCATTTGAAACATCAGTTGGCCAACTTTTTCCATTCTTATATCCTAGCTCCATCCTTGTTGCTTCATTTTCATCACACAGTTGACGCGTCTCCATCAGGAACACGACCTGTGGGGAAGTTTGTCGCAGAAGCGACTTGAGGGATCTCACTGCTAGCGTACTTCCCAGAACGCGGCAGTTATAGCTTAAGAGCTTCATCTGGGAACTGAAGGGGATCGGTTCCCCGCACCCTCAGCATTTGTCGATATCTTTGGCCCTATTACGTTCTTCTTTCCTCCAGCAACCGCCCCCGGGCTCTTCCCTGGATTTACAATCTTTTCATTTGTCTCCCTTAATTTCCCCGTCTCCTTCCTACCTCCCGCCGCAGTTTGTGAGGCCTCTCCTGTAGGATTCTTGGCTCTGCCCTCCACTCTTTGTTTTTCTTCTTTATTATTCTTCTTCATACCACTGCTCTCCTTCTGGTTCTTCGCCCCTTTCTCTTCTTTGCTCCCCCTCCCAACTTGTTTGTCTCCTGCACTCTCTTTCACACCTTGTGACTCCTTAGTCAACAGCTCCTCTCCTCTACTAGCCATTTTTTCCATTCCATTCCCACGATCGGTTTCTTCACCCATTCCATCATTAATATTGACGTCACCCGGGACTGCATGGAGTGCATGGAAGCGGTTGTTCTTGTCGGCAGTTTGGATGTTGCGAGACACCGTTCCTTCCCTTCGTCCCGACTTCCATTCCTTCTTCTTCACTACCATCCACTCCCCATAAGTCCTCCCCTTCGTTGGGTCTGCATTAGCCTCACTAGCCTCCTCTCCACCCTCATCGGAACTCTCGTTCATTCTCTCCACACATTGGCAGTCATCTGTTGATTTTCCATACTTCCCACAATTTGTGCACACCTTCTCGAGCCCCTCATATTGTACAAGATAGGTTATCCCCTCAATTTTGTACTGTGATAAGAGGGGTCTTGTCAGGTCTACTTCCACACATACTCTACCATACTTCCCTCTAGCCCCAAGCTCCGTTGCCCTATCCACCCTTATCGGTCGTCCAATGGCCACCGCTATGCGCAATACAGCCTCTTTGTTAATGAATTCAATGGGTAGCTCCGGTAGTTGAACCAAAACCATTGTTGATTTCACAGTTGATTTCCATGGATTGAAGCCCTTGAACCACCTGTGAACTGTCAAGTACGTGTCACCTAATAGCCAAGGTCCCCCCATCGTCGCAATATCATAATCCTTCTGATTTCGGAATCGAACTAAATAACAGCCGTTTTCCATATCCGAAATTTGGAGCTCCCCATGCCGGCCCCACAGGTAGTTCAGGCGTTTCGCAAGTGGTACGTATGTTACTCTCCTCCTTAGCCCTTTGACAACCAGAGCCGATCGCCATTCCCGCCTCCATTTAGCTTTCTCAGAAGCGGTAAAGCATATTGTAGGACACTTTGGATCCTCAGCCTCCTCGTCCACGAAATCATCTTCTTCTTTCTCTCTTTGCTCTACGTCCTCAGTATCAGAATCTTCTACGTACCATTGACCCTGCTTGAGAATCTCACTAAAAAGTGGTCTCGCCCCAGCTGGCCAACCCTTCTGTTCCGGTCCAACAGTCTGCTCCGTCTCCATCTCTTCCTCTGTTACATCTTCCACTTCCACTGTTCTAGTCGAAAAGTCCAGAGCCCTAGCTCTCTTCTTCGCTTGCGTTGCTTCCTTTGCAGATCTTCCGTTTGGTGATGAAGAGGCTTCAGCTGGTCGTCGGATACCCCCAGCTAAGTCAGGAGGCTTGTCTTTCCCCGTCGACGTCACCGCCGGCGCCCCCGTAGCCATGACAGAAGCGAAACCCTAGAGAACTCGCGGCTTTTAGGTTTTTCCTCAGACAATCTCGGAGCGCGTCGATTTTTGTAGAAACCAATTTCTAAACCCCACTAGTATATAAAAAGTGTTTATCTTTGTTTCTCTGTAAAGATAGTTTGTACTTATTTATATGCTCAGTACATTCGGTTTGGTAAATTTCCAGGTTCTACGGGTGTTGAAATGGAGTTTGCCATGCTTTTGGGCAAACGTAGTAGACTAATGCGACACATTCACTTGCATAGAAAACGTTTGGGAAGAACCTACTTTCAGACTCAAAGAAAGCTATGTATGTTGTATTTAGGAGGGGAGCTTTTTATAATTGATGTGATGGAATTGTATATATGTATCTATACTCCAAATTTTCTCCAGATGTATCTATTAGTTAGGGTACTATGTATTTGCATGGCTTTGATAGTTGTATTTTAATTTTGTATCTATCTATAGGTCCTCATCTGTATGAGTTTGTGTCGCAGAATCCAAATTTTTAGTTCCTCATCTGTATGAGTTTGCATTGTGATGGATTTTTCCCCCTTCTCCCAGCGAAACTTGATGCATTTAATTATAATTCTTTTTATTCGTAGGGGTTATTCAAGTGGCATTGGTAAAGCATGGAAGTAGCATATTTTATTACTGATTATTATTTTAATGTTATATTGTGATGGTTTTTTCCCCCTCTCCTAGTGAAACCTGATGCATTTAATTATAATTCTTTTTATTCGTAGGGGTTATTCAAGTGGCATTGGTAAAGCATGGAAGTAGCATATTTTATTACTAATTATTATTTTATTGTTATGGTCTAATTTCTTAATATTAATCTAAGTATTTTTGTGCTTATAGTTATCCCTTTTTTATAATTTATTATAGGTATCCCTGTTGTTGAATATTTTGATATTGGTCCGCCATCATGTACCTGTCAGCATTGTAGAGCTCACATGTGGCGTTTGGAGAGCACTTCATCTACAAGAAATTATTCAACGCCTTCATTTTCATTGTGTTGTAGAAATGGGATGGTCAAACTCCCTGTTCGTAGGCATCCTCCTCAATTCCTGGAAATGTTACTTGAAGGTGATACCCGCGCGTCATTTCCGTACTAATAGTCGAGGATATAATGGAGTGTTTTGTTTCATATCTATTGGTGGTAAAGTCAACCACTCCATTAATGACGGCCATGGTGTTTATGTTTACTCAATTGGTGGTCAAATTTATCATCGAATTGGAAGTTTGGTTCCTCCTGAAGGGATAAGTCCAAAATTTGCACAATTGTATATTCACGATTCAGACAATGAGGTACAAAATCGATTGAGCTTCTACTCATCTGATCCTGAGAAGAATCCATTACTTGCTTCTATTGTTGAAGGTTTGCAATAAATGTTTGATACGCATAATATTTTGATTCATCATTTTTGGTCTGCAAGAGACAGAATATTTGAGGATGGTGTGGAGGAGCTTCAGTTGAAGTTATTGGCAAAATGTGAAATCAATAGTAGGGAATATGATTTACCTTCGGCAGGTGAGATAGCAGCATTGATTGTTGATGAGACAGGAGAAGAAACTTTTTCACCGGATATTATTGTTCAACAGCGAAGTACTGAAATGGAGAGAATTAGTCCATATCATCCCAGTCTAATGGCGTTACAATATCCTGTTTTGTTCCCGTATGGAGAGGACGTATGACATCCCGGTATTTTCTATTCAGCAACTACAGATTTGGCTGGTGCAGGAGAGAGAATGATAACTCAATGTGATTACTATTGTTATCGACTTCAGACTAGGCTTGCTGAGTCAAATTCTTTGTTCCTTGCTGGAAAGTTCTTTCAACAATATGTTGTTAATGCTTATGCTCTTATAGAGGCTGAACGCTTAGATTGGATGAGAAACAATCAATCAAGGTTGAGAGGACATCATTACCAAGGGTTGTTGATAGACCATTGATTACACATGTTTTTACCCCTATCCTTGAGCCGTTTGAGATGTCGATTCTCGCGTTTTAGGCCGATTTAACGCTAGGTTGTTCTTGTTTGTGATATTTCAGGTCCTAGTACGAGAATGAAGGTTTAGGAACGAGTTCGGGGTCGATTGGACGAAGTTTGAACGTTTGGCGAGAAGCTGAGAAGCCACACGGGCATGCCTAAAAGCCACACGGCCGTGTAGGGGACCCCTTGTGGCCGTGTGGAAATTCCAGGGAACTCACACCGGCACCTTGGAAGTCCACACGGCCGTGTGGGTCGTGGCCGTGTAGGAAGCCTGAAGCCACTTATCGAAACTCCGCATTTTGACACTCACACGGGCAGCCTGGGAGAGTCACACGGCCGTGTGGCCTGGTCGTGTGGCCTGGCCGTGTGGCCTGGCCGTGTGAGTCGGGAAATTCTGGGTTTTAACCCAAATTCGAGCCAAAGGAGAGGGAGAGCGGGGTTTTGGATCCCAAACACCCAAGGGACACCCCAAAGAGAGAGAGGGCGATTTGAGGGCATTCTTGGAGTGGAATTGGAGGATTTCTTCGCCTTGGAAGCTCGAGGAACAAGCCCGGACTTGAAGACTGATCATCTGAAGATTCTTACTGCAGTCTCTCTCTTCTCTATGGAGTAACTTCCCTTCACTTAGGTTTTGAGGAACCCTAGCTATGTTTGTTTGATTGGATGATTGTATGAGTACTCCTACTTGATAATCTTGAGTTCATATTCAATCTATGCATGTTTTCATGATTCAATTCTGCTTTAGTCGAGATTATTGATTCTGCTTTGATCCTATGAGAGCGAATACCTGATTAGGTCAATAGAGCACCATAGATTGATAGTATTGGATCGATTGATTTAGTTGAGGGTTGATTCAATTCTTTGTATCGATTGAGAACCTCATTCGATAGAGGGAATCTAGTTCAGAACGCCTTGATCGGTTGTTCTAGAGAAGGATACGTCCCTCTAGGCAATTGACTCAAGAGGACCTTGTTCCTTTTGTCGAGACTCAAGGTCTAGTTAAGGATTCTCCGCATTGTGAATGAAAGTGAAACAGGTTAGAGATCATCAATCATTAATCTGGCTAGTGGCTAGGGGGAATCATACCTAAGTGAGTTCCCAACCTGTAATTTGATTAACTTTAACTGTAGTTTGCTAGAGTAGTTTTAGTTCTTTCATCCTAATCTGGTTTGCTAGATAATGAACTGAAGCTGAGTAATAGTAACTCTAGAGACCCGTGGATTCGATATTTATTACTTGAGCCACTATACTGCAGTCCCTTTCATTGGTTACACTTGGCCATTGTTAGGAGTTGTGTCATAGCGAGTCAGTTGTTATGGAGATTTTGCGTGGTGATAATGATCTTAAATTTTCTGGGAAGCCTGTGATTTTGGCTGCAACTCATACAGGTAGTCCAAGATACAAGTATGAAAATTTTCAGGATGCTATGGCGATTTGCAAATGGTTGGGATATCCAAATTTGTTTATTACATTCACCTGCAACTCCAGTTGGCCTGAGATACAAAATATGGTTGATATTATTCGAGAATTTACTAGAAAAGATCCAAACCGTGCTGATATTATAGCAAGGGTATTCAAGATGAAGGTCGATGAGTTTATGCTGGAGATGAGGAAGAAGGAAATATCCGGCAAGATAACTGCATGTATGTATATAAATTATCTCCAAACTTTTTTATTTAAAATTTTTATACGGCTAATTACTGTTCCTAAAACTTGGTGTTCTGTGCTTATTGATTATTCATAGATGTAAAAGCAATAAAATGGCAAAAGCGTGGTCTCCCTCATGCACATACATTGTTATTCCTTGCACAGGAAAGTAAGTTTCATGGACCTTCTGATATTGATACAATAATTTCTGCTGAAATACCTGATCCTGATCCTGAATTTTATGCTATTGTTACAACATCTATGATGCATGGACCTTGTGGCGCACTGAATCCAAATAATTCATGCATGAAGAATGGGCGTTGTAGCAAGCATTATCCAAAGGATTTTTGTACACAGACTACCATTGATGAAAATGGATTCCCTAAGTATCGGCGAAGAGACAATGGTAGGATATTTAACAGCGGAGGTGTTGCTCTTGATAATTGGTGGGTTGTACCTCATAATCGCTATCTGTTATTGCGATTTGGTGCTCACATAAACATGGAGATTTGTAACAAAACAAGGTATGTTTAAAATATGTTGCCTTCTCTTACTATTATTAATTTAGAGTTCAATGCAATTTTAAATTAGAAACCAATATGTTTGATAATTTAAGAATGTACATCCGTACGTTTGCTTCTTATGATGTAACCATGATATTCTTGAATATATAGAAAGCATTCAATCGTTCATACACTAAATTTTAACCATTCTTAAAATCATATAAAATGATTTTTATGCACAATGTTATCTATTAGATTTTTTCCTTTGCAGAGCTGTAAAATATTTGTTCAAGTATATAAACAAACCTGAGGATCGTGCAATGGCCACACTTGCAGCCCAACAAGAAGCATCGTCAGAGATGAATAGTGGGTCTTCTAAGAAGGCGGTACAAATTGATGAAATTAAAGCATTTATGGATGCTCGATATATCACATCAGGTTAGGCAAGTTGGAGAATATTTAGGTTTGATATCTATAATCAGTCTCCACCAGTGCTTCGTATGTCATTTCATTTGCCTGGTGAGAATATAGTGTATTCAAATGTAAACTCCTCTGTGGAGGATGTTCTTGAATCGGATCGTGCTAATACGTTAATGCTTTTGGCATGGATGGAGCTTAATGTTAAGTCAAGGGCCGCTCGAAAATACACGTTTGTTGAGATGCCGCAGTATTATGTCTGTAAGAAGAAAGGCAAGAAGTGGCAGAAACGTAAAAAAGGGATGTGTATTGCTCGATTATATTACTGTTATTCGTCAGCAAAAGAGAGGTATTACTTGCGTATATTACCGCATGTTGTTCGGGGATGTTGTACATATGAGGATATCAGAACTGTGAACGGGGTAATATATGAATCATTTCAGAAAGCATGTTATGCAAGAGGCCTCCTAGCTGCAGATGAAGAATGGAACGATTGTCTACAAGAAGTATCATTTTGGGGATCTGGTTTTAAACTGCGTAAACTTTTTGTCACAACTCTTATTCACTGTGAAGTGGCAAATGTGGAAGCTTTTTGGCTCAAGAATTGGAAGATACTTAGTGATGATATATTGCACTCAAGACGTACTCACCTTAACATGCCTGACTTGACTTTGACAGAAGATGCCATCCAGGAATTTTGTTTGCTTCAAATAAATGATTTGTTGCAGAACCATTCTAAATCATTATCTGATTTTCCTGGATTGCCGATTCCTAATCAATGTATGCAGGCTGAATGTTTCAACATGATGATTGCTGCTGATTTGAATTATATATGTGAGAATGGAAACAATGTATCTGATGAGGTAGTTCTGAATTTGAATGCAGATCAACGCATGGC